CCTGGGTAGAGTGCTGTGGCATCACAGCTCACAGCAACCTCCAACTCCTGGGCTCAAGCGATTCTCCTGCCTCAGCCTCCCTAGTATCTGGGATTACCGGCACCTGCCACAATGCCTGGCTATTTTTTTATTGCAGCCATCAATGTTGTTTGGTGGGCCCGGGCTGGATTCGAACCCTCCAGCTCTGATGTGTGTGGCTGGCACCTTAGCTGCTTGAGCCACAGGTTGGCTTTTTTTGTATAGATGAGGTCTCCCTCTGGCTCAGGCTGGTCTCAATTCCAGAGCTCAGGGCAATCCACCTGCCTGGGCCTCCCAGAGTGCTAGGATTACAGGCCTGAGCCACCTTGCCTGGCCAAGAAATTAAAGAAGACCTAAACAGGTTAGTTTAAGACCAGCCCAAGCGAGACCCTGTCTGTACTAAAAATAGAAACATTAGCCAGGCTTGTGTTACCAGCCTGTAGTCCCAACTTCTTGAGAGGCAGGAGGATTGCCTGAACCCAAGAGTTTAAAGTTGCTGTGGGCGAGGCTAACCCCTCAGCACATCACATGCTTATGGATTTGAAGACTTAATATTATTAAGATGAATAGTACCCAAACTAAGTTAAAGATTGAATGCAGTCTCTATAAAACTCTCAGCTGTTGGCCAAATGCAATGGCTCATGCCTGTAATCCTAGCTCTTTGGGAGGCTGAGGTGGGTGAATTGCTTGAGTTCAGGAGTTCAAGACAAGCCTGAGCAAGAGCTTACTAAAAGTAGAAAAACTAGCTGGACCCTATCTCAACTAAAAAATATATATAAAAAAACTAGCCAGTGTGTGGCGGTCACCTGTACTCTCAGCTACTTGGGGGGCTGAGGCAAAAGAATTGCTCAAACTCAGGGATTTGAGGTTGCTGTGAGCTATGATGGCAGAGCACTCTACCTAGGATTACAGAGTAAGACTCTGTCTTAAAACAACAACAAAAAAATCTCAGATGTTTTTTCATGCAGAAGTTGATGGTCTGATTCTAAAATTCATAGGGAAAAGCAAGAGGCCCAGGATAGCAAAAACAGTCTTTTTTTTTTTTTT